AAAACATGAGTCTTTGTGATTGGTGTTTTCATTTCCTTGAACCAAAGCCCCGAGAGCAGCATTGCTGAGTCACAGGACATGTGTATTTAGCCTTTAAAGAAAATGGTGAACTGTCCTCTAGAATGACTGTATCATTTTGCATCACCTCCAGCCATGTAGTAGGGCACCAGGGGCTCCCTGACTTTACTAACCCTTGACTTCTGGGTCTTAAATTTGATTATATTGAATGGATGTGTAATGATCATATTGCAGGTGTTGCCATGAACTTTGAGCCTATGTTTTCTTTTAATTTAAGATCTATTTTATTGTTTGTAATTGTGTGTATGTGTTTGGGTCTCTGTGGGTATGTGCACATGAATGAGTGCCTTTGGAAGAGAGAAGTGACCGATGCACCTAGAGCAGGAGTTACAGGTCGTTGGAAGCTGCCCTACATGGGTGCTGGGAATTGAACAAAAGTCCTCTGCAAGAGCATTATGCACTCTTAACTGCTGAGCCATTTCACCAGCCTTGAGCCGCTGCTTTCATATATATATGAAAGCCACTAGAGTATCCACATTTGGGGAATGTACTGAATAGGGGATGTGTATTTAAGACATGCCAGAACACTAGTGTGTTGCTGTGGAACAGTCATGACCTAATATATATATGAGATTCTCTCTTGTCCTCCCCAACTCACTACCTGTTTCCCTCCACAGAAACACACCTGAGAATCTTCTTTGTTCCACATTTTTACTATGGCTTTGGACACTATTGACCCAGGTCCTCTGAATGGTAGTGCAGTATGTCGCAGAGCACACAGGGACTTTCTCCAGCTGAGCTATGAGAAAGTCTGGGGATTGAGATGAAACACTGGGATGTCCAGGGAACCTCAAGAAGCTGGTTCCTCGACCCAAGATTGAAGGAGCTGGGGACTTTTCATCCCCCACAGCCCAGCATTTCCTTTGGTCAGGAAATTGAGAGGAGAGGGAATATCTACCAGGAAGGGTTGGGACCACATACTGGACAAGGCTACATTGCAAGGAAGACATAGAATGAAAAAGAGGCCTGTTAGCTGGAGGGGCCGGAGAAGCCATGGCCGTAAACAGAGAATCCCCCAAGAGGAAGCTCTGTAGTGCCAGGATTAGGGTGCTCCAAACTACTGGGGACAGGAAAGATAGAGCCCAGACCAATTCCCAAACTGCACTAAAGGTGGTCTGACTTGTTCCCAGGACTAATTCCTATAGGAAGTGATTCAGGGCTAGATCCTGTTCTCTTTGGTTACCTTACTTTGTGATTCTTTATCATAATGAAAATCCTATTCATAGACCCGTATCTCCAGTTTTATCATAGACTCTGAGAGCCCAGATAGTTCCCAGTGTTCATGCCAACAGGGTTTGTCATGTGGGTGCCAATGAGATAGTTCAGCAGACTTTGCTTTCAAGCTTGATAGCCTGAGTTCCACCCTGAGACCCACATGATGGAAGGAGAAAACTAACTTACACCACCTGTCCTCTGAATTCCAAATGTGTGCCCTGGTGTGGGAGAGTGCCCACACATACTTACAAAAATAATAAAATAATAAAATGAATAAATAAATAAATGAGTAAATAAATAAATAAATAATGTCTCTGTGCATGGTGGCACACGCCTTTAACCCCAGCACTGGAGAGGCAGAGACAGGTGGATCTCTGTGAGTTCAAAGCCAGCCTAGTCTACATAGTGATTTCCAGGGCAGCTAGGGTTATAGGGAGACCCTGTCTCAGTCTCAAAAAGACTCCCCTCAAAATAATAGTAATGTCAAGCAGATAAATGCCAGTGAAGTTGATCTCGACAGGTGTTAGCCACTAGAGTAGCCACATTTGGAGGACGGAGTATATAGGGGATGCATACTTAAGACATGCCAGAACAGTATTGTATTTCAATGGAACAGTAATGACCTAATGGGAGGGGTACATGCAGATCCTAAGATCATAATATGGTGCCAGGGACTCTGAAGGTAAGTTCAATAAGCTATGAGTCTTTTAAAATATACTTTGTTTTTGAATTTTTGCCATTTTCATACAATGTCATTTGATGGAATTTACATCCCCTCCCCATCTGCACCTTGCCTTATTGCCTCCTGCCTCATTTAATGTACTCTAATACATATTTAATAAGGCCTATGGAGTCTAATGGGTTTCCAGATGTCCTTCAGTGTGGTGTCCATCCACTGGAGCCCGATTAACATACCAAGAATTTCATACTTGAAAGAAACTGTCTCTGATCATACCAACAACCATCTTTTGCCACAATTTCCTTAGGTGAGGTTGGAGTTTCTTATCCACTTTCTCATATTATACTGGAATATTCCTGGATTGAGTTTGTATGGGACTTGTGCATGCTGTCACCATTGCTGTGAGTTCAGATGGGTAACTGAACAACTGTCTGGAAAACTGCTTCCTTGTGGTTATCAGCCTCCTCTGACTCTTACAATCTTTCTGCCCTCCCTGTTCTGCAGTGATCCCCAAGCCTTGATGGGCAGAAGTTTGAGATAAGTGTTCCATTGAGGGATAAGCACTCTGAAGCCTCTTGTTCTCTGCATGTTGACTAGTTGTGGGTTTCTGTGTTAATCACCATCTGTTGCATAAGGAAACTTCTCTGGAGAGAGTTGAGAGGTTCTCCCCTATGTCCTGTGGTCTGTCTAGCCTCAGGTTCCATACTAGGAGATGAACCTTAAATCCAATCAAAGAGTGGTTGGTTACTCCCATAATATTTGTGCCACTATTGTACAAATAATCATATCTTTCCAGGCCTGTTGTTACTGTTAAATTATGAATCTTTTTTTTCTTTTAAAATTTTAACATTTATTTTTATTTTATGTATATGAGTGTTTTGCCTGCATGGATATAAGTGCACCCATGTTATGCAGTGCTAGTGAAGTCAGAAGATGGCATTGGATCCCCTCCAACTAGAATTAAGGACGGTTGCCAGCTACCATGTGGATATTGGGAACTGAAGTCCAGTCTTCTGCAAGAGCAGCTAGTGTGGTTAACCACTGAGCCATCTCTCCAACCCCAGGAATGATATTTTTGATGAGGTCTTAGGTTGGTTTATAAGTATTTTATTGAGAAATTTGCATCTATGTTCATCAAGGAGATCAGTCTGTAATTTTCTTTTTTTGTGGTGTCTTACCTTGTTTTGATATCACAGCAATACTTCATAAAAAGAGTTTGGAAGGCTTCTATCTTTTTCTTTCAGGCCCTCTGGTAGTTGGAGGCCAGAAGGAAGCCAGAACCTGGCACTCTTTGGTGATCTGCTGAGCTCCCAGCAGCTACCCCAATGGAGGAGGTCTGAACCCACCCTCTCAGGCTGTCTGCTAACTAAACTGTGAAACTTAAAAGCACAGAAGAGTCTCCAAGATGAAGATCACACTCAGAGCTCCCTATGCTTAAATGCTATTACTCATGTGTGACATCTTGAGTACATACCTACTCAGAGAAGCCCTCCTGGTTTCTCCTGTTACAACTTTCTGCTCCCTGATCTCCAAAACACCACCCATGTTGAGCTGGTCAGTACAAAGATAGGGATCCCGGTGATGCTAAGTTTGAGGAGAGGGTTCCTGGTATCCAGAAATACTGCAGCAGCCATGCTGTGCCTTTCAAAGAGGGCAAAGGAGGAGAAACAACCCAGGTGACTTTGCTCCACCTGCTGGCTGTTCCCTAATCAGGCAGTTCTTTGGGCAATAAAAAATTTGCCCCACCCAACCAAGTTCCCCACCTACATTTTTTTTACTTCAAATTCCTGCCTGAGCAAGGTCCACACATTGTGTTTGCTTTCTGTGAAAGGAGATCACCCTGCGGCAGCACAGACTCAGGCCTAGGAGCCAATCATGCCACTGGACAGATTTCCAGGCTGGCTGAATGCTGTGGCCTGTGGGTTCCTGCTTCTCCTGCTCGAAGTTCAGGGTAAGACACCCTAGGGGTGAACTGGGGAAGGAAAGGTATCAGAGCTGCAAAATTCCACAGACTCAGAGCCTGAGATGGTGGGAGGGAAGGCACCAAGGATGGAAGACGTGGTAGAGATGATAGATGACAGAAACATGTGCCACCCAATGCCCTCATCAAAGATCACAGGATGAACCCTATAGCACATAGAAGGTCATAGATACCCAAGGTCATCCCATACAGAGGCACCAGATTAGTGTGAAAAGCTCTGAGGAGAGCTGAAACTGTACATCAGGGGAAAGAAGGACCGAAGGGACATTTCCCTCTCTATGTTTCTGTGACATTAGCTGCTGCTGAACTTTGGAGAATAGCAATAATACCTTCATGCTGCCACAGTGTGTTACCTCTTCGGCACCCTTCTAAAGTACCTGGGCAAGGTTCCTAGCCCTGGACGAAAATCAGCCCCCTCACAATCCCACAGCTGAACTGAGCAACCCAGGATTCCCCTTCCCACTGCATACCCTGGTGACAATGAGAAAGGCGTTCACTCATTAAGTGTGGTGCTAGCTGATCAGAATGAACAAACACTGATGGAAAATCTTCACCTACAGGCCAGGAATCAGACAGTCCCAT